AAATGGAAAAGCAAGATAAATCAATCACGGATAATTCTAATTTCAAATAAGACCATGATTATCATCATATAAAAACTGCAATTTCTTAGCTCAGTGAATTCTCAACCATCAAAGAATTAAAAAAACCCCTGCAAAAAATTAACCTTAAGTGATATGCATTACAAAAACACTATAGGAGGGATAAGATACATTCAAAAAGGGTCACAAACTTATACCTGCAAAAAAATGATATGAAGGGCTGGTGGAGTGGCTCAAGTGGTAGAGGGCCTGCCTACCAAGCGTGAGGCCATGAGTTAAAACTCCAGTACTGTCAAAAAAACAAAAAACAAAAAAAAAAAAAACCTGTCTTGAAGATGGCCTATGATTGACATCAGAACACAGAATGCTTTCACTGTATGGGAAAAGCTTTGGTTACCAAATTGCAAGTTACCAAGAAGCAAACTCCTCATGCAACTGAAAAAATAACTTGTAGGAACCAGGAAGATAATTTTGTCTTACCCTCTAATCACAATATTCTGTGCACAGATCTCCAGAGTGGGAAGAAGAAAGGAAGATGTTCTTTGTGTAAACACAAAAACTTACAAGGGGGTGGGAGCGTGCTACTATTATAATAAAAATGTTTGCCCAAGAATTCAAATGTGAGGCATATTCACTGTAGAGGTGGTATATAATTAAATGGATGAAATATACTTTTTGTTTTTTATTTTTAAATTACATACAGAGGTTTGCTATGTTAAATTCTAATTAAAAGCTCAAATATTTGTACATTAAGCCTTTATTTTTACATTTCACATTATGCGTTTATTCTTCTCTAATTACAAAACTTAAACATAAACAGTAAAAATTCAAAAAACAAAAATCCCTTCTGATCTAAATAGTAGTCATAACTTTTTCCTTGTATAATGAGGGATCAATGGAATCCTTGAAAGAATGCTGCTTTCAGAAATGAACCAAAATTCTAAACATAAGTTTTTTAGCTGAGTAACTCAAGTTACTATTTATGACATTATTTAAACCAATAGGAAGCTGGGAATAGTGGCATGTCTATAATCCCTGCACTCAGGAGTCTAAGGAAGGAGGATGATGAATTCGAGCCCAGCCTGAGCTACACAGTGAGGCCCTGTCTCAAAAACCAAACAGGCTGGTGGAGTGGCTGAAGTGGGAAAATGCCTGCCTAGTAAGCTTGAGGCTAAATAATCACCTAAAATTATTAATTGTTTTTTTTAACAAAAACTGCTACTCCAATTCATATTGAAAACAATTCTTGGTACAGTTCTAAATTTTCTCTTGAATAAAGAACAAGTGTGATGGAACTGAGAACATCATTCTGAGTGAGGTTAGCCTGGCCCAAAAGACCAAAAATCGTATGTTCTCCCTCATATGTGGACATTAGATCAAGGGCAAACACGACAAGGGGATTGGACTTTGAGCACATGATAAAAGCGAGAGCACACAAGGGAGGGGTGAGGATAGGTAAGACACCTAAAAAATTAGCTAGCATTTGTTGCCCTTAACGCAGAGAAACTAAAGCAGATACCTTAAAAGCAACTGAGGCCAATAGGAAAAGGGGACCAGGAACTAGAGAAAAGGTCAGATCAAAAAGAATTAACCTTGAAGGTAACACACACGCACAGGAAATTAATGTGAGTCAATGCCCTGTATAGCTATCCTTATCTCAACCAGCAAAAACCCTTGTTCCTTCCTATTATTGCTTATACTCTCTCTACAACAAAATTAGAAATAAGGGCAAAATAGTTTCTGCTGGGTATTGAGGGGATGGGAGGGGAGAAGGAGGGGGCGGAGTGGGTGGTAAGGGAGGGGGTGGGGGCAGGGGGGAGAAATGACCCAAGCCTTATATGCACATATGAATAATAAAAAATAAAAAAAAAAAAGAACAAGTGTGAGAGTACAAAACTTAATCCTTTCCTTTGCATTCTCTCCTCCACTAAAAATGCCAATGCTGAGAAGTAAAACACTGGGCTGAAGGACTGGAATACCAGGCCTGACTGGAGTGGGGTGCTGAGAGTTAAGGTCCTCCATCAACTTACCTCAGCACTTTTCTACTCATCATGGCTCACTGCTGCAGCAAGAGTCCTCACTAAACTTTCCAAGGCAGATGTTTCTAATGTGCTGCCTCATCTCTCACCTCTTGAAGGCTCTAATGCCAACAGGTAGCAGCAATTCCAAGTTCCCTAAACTAGACAGATTAGTTTGACCCTCCAAAATTGCTCCTCTCCTTCTACCTAACTCTCAAATACATGGAGGACAGCTCCCACCTATGTTTATCATCAGACTACTGCTGGTAAATTCATACCAACTAAAGCCAAAGTCTCACCCTACAGAGTACTTGCTAATTACAAAAGAAAATGCTTCAATGAAGTCTGTACCATCATGTCTAAGTGATCAAAATTAGGATTACTAATAAGACAACTCCACTCTCACCTTCTCGTGTTATATATGTATTCTGCATGACTTATGAAATATTATTGCCAAAAAGATTAAGCCTGAATCTATTCAAGCCTTTAGCCCTAAACTTCAAGTTTACAGAAAATAAAAGGGATAAAGGAAAGAATATAAGCATCATGAGGAGGAACCACCAGTAAAATACAAACTGTGCGTTATTATAAAGACTACTAACCTGATCCTTTCAAAAGACCAATGTCAAGGAAGGGAGGAAGGCAGGCAAAAGGAAAGCAAAAAAGGACAAGAAAAAGAAAAAGAGGAAATGATTCTAAATTAAAAGAGACTAAAGCAAGGCAAACAAGTGTAAAAAACTGTTGGGCCCAGTTTCCAAAAAATAATTTAAAATGGCATTTTGGGAGACCAAAAATCGTATGTTCTCCCTCATATTGCAGACATTAGATCAAGGGCAAACACAACAAGGGGATTGGACTTTGAGCCCATGATAAAAGCGAGAGCACACAAGGGAGGGGTGAGGATCGGTAAGACACCTAAAAACTAGCTAGCATTTGTTGCCCTCAACGCAGAGAAACTAAAGTAGATACCTTAAAAGCAACTGAAGCTGATAGGAAAAGGGGACCAGGAACTAGAGAAAAGGTTAGATCAAAAAGAATCAACCTAGAAGGTAACACACACGCACAGGAAATTAATGTGAGTCAGCTCCCTGTATAGCTATCCTTATCTCAACCAGCAAAAACCCTTGTTCCTTCCTGTTATTTCTTATACTCTCTCTACAACAAAATTAGAAATAAGGGCAAAAGTTTCTGCTGGGTATTGAGGGGGTGGTGGGGAGAGGGAGGGGGCAGAGTGGGTGGTAAGGGAGGGGGTGGGGGCAGGGGGGAGAAATGACCCAAGCCTTGTATGCACATATGAATAAAAAAATAAATTTAAAAAAATGGCATTTGGGGGGCTACAGAGGAAATGTGAAAATGCACTATATGAATACATTAGGTCGTAGGGGTTATTCTCACCTCCTTGATTGTGGTTACAGGATACAGAAAAAGTCCCTTAATCTTACGGAGATACATACTGAAACATGTACATATTTAGGGGTGAACTGTCTATCTACAAGATACTTTCAGCTGTTCAGCAGGTGAGATATGTACAGTCAAAGCAAATGTGGCAAACTGTTTACGAATGCTAAGACTGGGTGGAGGGATCCCTAATCTTCGGCTTTCCAATATGATTGAAACAAATACCATGACAACTGAAAAAGTTGCGAAGTTAAGAAATGATTTCAAAAACAAAAACGTAAAATAAAGGTATATTTAATTGTATTTCTGAAATTTGAGGGGGAAGCCTCTTCGCCCTTTCTCACCCACTTCATTTCAACAAAAATGGTATACATAGTGTGCTGGGCACTAACGAGTCAGAAGACCCAAGTCTGCGTAATTGGCCCTGGCTCTTTCCTCCTGGCCAGGTGATCTACTTGAAGTCACATCTCTAAGGCTGTTCCCTGGCCTTCACAAGGGACTATGAGGTACAAAGCAGATGATAATCAATGACAGCTACAAATGCAAGATACAATTACAATGCACCTGTCTTGAGTGACGTGAGGCCATCAAGAGCACGCAGGGCCTTCACTGACCCAGTAAACATCTGCATCCCAACAACTGGCATTAGCTTGAGTTAGGCACAGTGCTCCCAGGGCAGGGCACCTCACAAATGCTATAAAAAGGGGGCTTCTGTGCCTTCAAACTTTCTCGCTTTTAATTAAATATCTAATGGCATTAAAAGAGGTCAAATTCGGAAGATGCACACAGTCCACAGCTGAAGGCAGTCAACCCAAGTTTTTAACAAAGAGACTCCGCTCCCTTAGCCGAAGGAGGGTCTCCCAAGCAGGCAGAAGCGGGCTCCCGGGGACGCTCCACACTCTCTAGGACGTCTCTTCCTCAAAGCCTTACAACTTAAATTGGGAGGGACTCCCTGCACCTCATTAAGCAAAGCCCGCAACGCTCAGATTATTGGGCGTCCAGTTCGCTGGTGGCGGGGACAATAACGGGACTTGGAAGGCAGAGCGGCAAAGTCCCTTAGACAAGAGATGGGGACGTGAGCGTGGCTCTCCAGCCACCGAAGCGAAATCAGGACCCCCACACCTTCGGTCTCTTCCTACACGTGAGGGGCTTCGAGGTGGCGGTCCCCCGGGGATGGGGACTCCGCCAAACACCCCGCACAAAGGTACAAAGGGCGAGAGAGGACAACGCCCAACACCAAGTTGGGGACAGGAGGAGCCCGGGCGATGGCGCGGGGGACAAGGGAGGCGGCGGCGGCTTGCACAGCCCACGTCCCGTCACATCCCAGTTGGCCGCAGGGTCGCGTCGGGGTCCCTCCCCCGCCGGGGGCCAGCGCAAGATGGCGGCCCAGCCCCGCTGCGCAGTCGGTCCCCTCCCCGCGCAGGGCGCTCGCGACGGCCCGCCCCGGCCTGAGACCCCCCACCCCCACCCCGCAGCCCAGTGCCCCCCGGAGTGTGGCGACGCAGGCCGCGCGGGAGGGCCTCCGCCTGCTGCTGCGCAGGGCGGGCGGGGGCGGGGGGCGCTTACCGTGAGCGGAGCAGATCGGCCTGACTGGAGCCCTGAGGAGGAGGAGAAGGAGGAGGAGAAGGAGGAGCGCGGAAAACTACTCGGCGGCGGCGGCGGCGGTTCCCTTTGCGGAGCCGGCAGCGGAGCCGTGGGAAGCTGGAGGGGAGGGGGCCTGAAGCGGCAGCCGCGCTGCCTCATGGGTAGGCTCCGGGCCGGCCTCGTCGCGTCCGGGCTCCGCGTCTTCCCGCCGACGCGGGAGGCGGGCGCTGGCATGTGCGCGGCCGCGTCGCGGGCTCTCGAGGGCCTCCCCGCCATGCGCCGGCAGCCAGCGAGGACACTGCCACTGTGGTGCAGGTCTGCACACCCGCCAGGCTCGGGGCAGCCATCCTGTGCCATGCAACCGTGACTTCCGGCCTCTCCACAGACTTGGAGAGTTAAAAAGGTCACAGAAGAGGGGGAAGAGGTAAACCAAGTGAGCAAAAGGGTTCCGCTAGGTTCTTTGCATGATTGGCCAGTTTTACCAAATTTGTTTCCTAGTTCTGAAGCCCGAGTTTTGGATCTCAGGCCCCAAACGCCGGGGCTAACGATGTGAAGTCCGGCTACTCACCCCTGTAAGTCAAATAAAGAGACATGGTGAAGGGCAGAGAGAGATTTATTACACGGCCTGGGACACACTTTGGGAAGAGGTAAAGTAAGTGCTCAGCTATCTTCCCCGCAAGCAGGGGTTAAGGTGGTGCGTCGTGAAACGATCCCAGTCACAGGTGTGTGTGGGTGGTCAGATTGGTGGTTTGGTACTTGGTTGACCATGATCTCAGTCCTTGTTGGAGGGTTCCCGTTGTTAATCGCTGTCATCACTTGAGGGGAGCAATCTGGTTCCCAATCAGGGGCATGATTGCTCCTGCTCCAGGGTGCAGCTTTATTATAGGTAATTGTCCTCATTTGGAGGGGTGGCCTGCCCCACAAGACTCTACTGTTCCTTAAGGATGTTTCAGTCCTTTGTCTTAAAGAAGTTATCAGTCATTCCTGTCCTTCATTCCAAGGTGCTGCAGGAGAGAATGGCTCAGTGCAAAGGACAACAGGTACAAAAAGGAAACAGATGCAAGGACTTGCTCCTGTTTTTAGTTAATTCATGGGTTCAAGTAAGAGTGCTTTTCAGCAAAAGCAGTGTGAGCACTTACAGTTCTGCTATGGATGGTATAGCTTGAAAAAGATAGTTATGGCCAATGCAATTTACAAGAATGCTTTCCAAGATGCAGCTGGCTAAACACTTGCTAAACATTGTGTTCTGATCTTTTAAGGGAAGTATCCTCGGCCCACCGTCCTCACAAGATCTTGCTAATTCTGTCTTCCTGTTTGAATCAAGTTACTTTTTATCCAATCTGCCCCCCCCGTTTTCTTAGGAGTTTATCATTGCTTTAGCCTCCATATTTACCACCTTTCCAGAGTAATCTTTCCCAAAGGCTAGTTGGATCACCCTTAAAGAACTGGCAATAGCTACAGATGTGTAGGAGGAAAGATAATTTCTCCTCAACCCTCATAAACTTGTGGTCAGGATAGACTCCTGTAACAAAATACCAATCACCAGAAAAACAACTAAGTTTACTAATGCACGCAGTGCAGGTCAAGCAGGGAAAACCTCAATGAAAGGTTAAGTCAAAAGTAGTGGCTTAGAACTGGCTTACAGAGTATTTATTTGAGAGAGTCTTGCTGTGTAACCCAAGATGTCCTCAAACTCGTAGTCTTCCTGCCTCAGTCTCCCAAGTGATGAGATTACAGGTATTCACCACTATGCTAGCCTTATTTTGCATCTTTAACAAAGAATAATAAATGCATGGTGAAAGGACAAGACAAAGGAAAGCAGTTTTAGGCATTCCAAAAGTGGAAAGCTGCTGGGTGCTGGTGGCTCACACCTGTATCCTAGCTACTCAGGAGGCAGAGATCCGGAGGATCACAGTTCAAAGCCCGCCTGGACAAAATAATTCTCAAGACCCTCTCTCGAAAAAACCCATCACAAAAAAATGGTGGAGTGGCTCAAGGTGTAGGCCCTAAGTTCAAACCCCAGTACTGCAAAAAAAAAAAAAAAAAAACTGTGGAAAGCTGTGGGAAGATAAATGCATGGGATGGGAGTAATGGTTTGTGGATTCCTCTGGTTCGCTGAATTTGCATCCTGGCTTTACATGGAAGGGTGGGAGGCTAGAGAAAGCTCTTTGCTGCTTCTCAATTGCTTTCAGCTCAAAAACATGTATGACAGGATCTTTTGTGGTGATATACTCTGGTTAACTCACAGGTAAGCTATGACCTATTCTTGCCCCCATGGAACCTAGGATAGTTTTTCCCTTTCGAACTGGCCCTGAAAGGCCTTACAAGAAAAGATGAAAACAACAAAAACAGCAGACATGAAAAGTAAAAAATCTTCCCCACTCTTGAAGCATTATTAACTCATTGTTTTTCAGATATAGTTCCTAAATTTAGCAAGGCATGTTACAGTATGAAAGTAAAGATACTCTGTATTCTAGTATCTGGTCCTCAGTTTGCAGAGACAAAAAATTTGAATCCAGGGAATGATTCATGTGAACTAAACTTACTTAGAGACTGATTTAAAAACTAAAATTCCAGTTTAATTTTTTTCATGAAAAGCATAACTGCCATGAGGATCTGAAAATTCTGGTCAACATATTTTCATTCAAAAAGGACCATTTAGGGCTGGTATAGTGGCTCAAGTGATAGAGCATCTGCCTAGCAAACCTGAGTCCCTGAGTTCAAACCCCAGTACTGAAAAAAAAGGGAACATTTACATAAGAACCAAATTATAAAGGATACCTTGTGAGAATAAAATCAGCACATAGGAAGTCATTTGAAAGATTTTGATTGATTACCCCCTTAAAACTCTTTCACTGGCTTCTAGAATACCCGTCTCTTGGTTCTCTTGACTGACTGTCCAGACCTTCCTATTGTTTTGTAAGAACTTTCCTCTAACTTGTTACACTCTCGGCCCCTCTTTCATGCAGTACATTCACCATAGGTGTTCTCACAGCACTCAGGATCCTTGTGTGAGATCATGCTCCATACCTTCCCTGACTGATGTCACAAATACAGGTGATTTTCCAGCTTTCCATTCCACAACTCCTTTATGTTCATCCATGCAATTTGGGCAGAATTAAACCCTATCCCCCACAAGAAGTCCACAGATGGCCCAGCTTAACTAAAACTATCAGAATTACTTTCATCCTTTATTTTTTGTTTCAGATGCCAATCAGAGCGAAGCCTAGGATTTTTGTTTGATGTCAAGGAAAAGAAAACTTGTTTTCTTCCTCTGGATAGTGTGGCGTTAGAATGTAGATGCTGAAAGATGTACAACTTTTTTTTTCTGTGCTACTAAGGAGCGCCAACTAAGAATAAAGCTAACCCATGGAATGAGGGGGGGGTGGCGCTGAAATCAGTGGTCGGGAAAAGTCAGTTCCTGAGAGCATCATAAAACTCCAACTCCAACCCACCCTGTACCTGTACTCCATGCTACTTCTAGATTTCTGTGCTATGAGTTAATACCCTTTTGCTTAGGTCCAGAATAAGCTATTATGACATAACAATTATTATAAGCTGAATGCATTTAAGTTCTGGAATATTTTATCTAGCTAAAATGCAGGACCTTTCCAAAGAACTCAGTTAATATAAATCCCCTCCAGGGAGTAACCACAGAAGATTGACTCTTATTGTCAGAGACAATGAGAATTGTCATCACATCTAAACAGAATTGTCACAAAACTGTCATATTGCCCATCTGTTCTCCAAAGGGCTAGTTCAGTCCTTCCTAAATATCATTTGTTTTCCTCTAAATGCCCTTTCTCCCCACATCACCACCACTAAGACATCATTGGTTTTTCCCATAAGCATCTTCTCTCCCTTTACGGGAGTATATAATCTCCAAATCCTAACCACCCCCAGAATCATATTTCTTTGTGAAAGACTTTATGTGCATATGTGATTAAAATCTGTCTTTTTCTCTTGCTAATTGGTCAGTTTAATACACATGCTCTCCTTAATTGAACCTACAGGGGTAAAGGAATAGTTTTTACTCTCCCTCAAAGCCAATTGAGTTTTCTGTTATTAGCTACTTAAAATTTCTTAACTAAGAGAAAATGATATATATTTAATATCTTATTTTCCATTTTATATCCAGGAAGCCCACATTTCCTGGCCTGTGGAGCAGGCTGTATGACTATGGCTAGTAGAATGTAGACAGAAGCAGTGATTACCATGACTTTTCAAATCTCCAATGACTTATAGTTCCTGTTTTTCATACATCAGGTAGACACAAGAACTCTCAGAAGTGGCAGCAACATTATCTGGAAGGATATCAGGTCTTTTAATGATTTCATAGAATTCATGACTGTGCTGATCCTCATTGGACTAGAGCAAAAAAATAAACTCTTCCTGGGTTATGACAGTGAGATTGAGGGTTGTTTATTACAATAACTATAATCACTAATGTGCAGTAGTCAGGTGGGAATTACAGAAACATATAGCAGGTTGGACAACTGAAGATTCATATTAGGCAGTGGCTAAACTTGACTACAATAACTCAGAAGATAAGTAATACCTACATAACTTATAGCTCCAAGGAAAGAGTTCGGAAAGTAACATTAGTAGTGGATATTGGTGCTCTCTTCAGTAGCACATGTACTAAAATTGGAATGATACAGAAAAGATTAGCCTGGCACTTGCACAAAGATGACACAAATTTGTGAAGCACTCCATATTTTTAGAGGAATTAATATTGTTAAAATGTCTATACAACCCAAAGTAATATACAGATTTGTCACAATTTCCATTAAAATACCAATGGCATTCACAGAATTAGAAAAAAATTTTAAAAACCCTAATACTGGAATCACAAAAGATCCCCAATAGCCAAAGCAATCTTGAACAAAAACAACAAAACTGGAAACACTGCAGTACCAGGCCCAGGCCCTGAAACATACTACAAAGCTATAGGATACCAGCAACCAAATACTGGTGACATACAAATCAATGAAACAATAACCCATAGATACACCCACACATCTACAGCCAACTGATCATTGACAAAGGCACCAAAAACATACATTAGAAAAATGTCTCCTCAGTACCTAATACTGGGGCCAGGTGCTGGTGGCTTATGCCTGTAAAC